GAGGAAGCCACACCGGGTACAGCGGATGCAGTATACCACATTGGCAGATGTGCAGGTGAACATCTGCTTGATGTGGAAAGTCTTCTTGGGGCCTGGGATGGGGGTGAGGAAGGAGGTATGGGGGCAGGTGTAGCACTTCCTGCTGTTGCAGGGAAAAGTGCCGGGTGTGGTGGGGCTGGAGGGGAGTGTGGAGCGGTCAAGGGAGTCACGGAGAGAGTGGTCCCTCCGGAAAGCAGATATCGCAGGTTAACCCTGTTTCTTTCTCCACAGGTGCTGCGAGACTTGCTGAGTATTTCTAGCATTTTCTGTTCTGTTTCAGATTTCCAACATCCGCAGTATTCTTCTTCCTGTGGAGTAGGTTCTGTTTTAAAATTGAGGAATGATCATATTTCACCAATGTGTACCTTAACAGTGTGTCTGCAAGGTCAGGTCAAACCCATGATTGAGTGCTTTCAACCTTTTACAGAAAACGTGTTGCCTTTCCTTGACTTCCTCCCTCTCCAGTGATTGTCTGTTACTTCCTCAGCAACAATTCAACTCTATATCTGGTACCAGGAGACAAGGTAAGGTCATGGCTGTTTGTCAACCAATGCATCTTTTCATTTCCTTTCCTTTGCATTTGGCCCCTTTAATTATTTTTGAACAGCCGTAGCCTCATGGTAACCTAAAAGGGGCTGACCTGTGTGGGAATGTGTGAGTAGCTGCACAGTTCTGAAGGAATATTGCTATCAAAGGGGAGGGCACAGGGTGAGAGCTTTTTACATTTAATACATGGACAGGGACTGAGCAGAGCATATTACCTGCCTGTTAGAGATACTGTCCAGTTTTTACCCCATTGATTTTGAGAATCAGACAGATCCAAAGCCAACACACTCTATCAGATTGTTTTGGAGTATATGGGTGATTTGTTTAAGTGCATGGTATCTTCAAGTTTGCTCACACAATGGCACAGTAACTTAAAGGGAATTGCATGGGAACTTCAGGCTTTCTGCATGGCTATGGGATGGCCCAGCTTTGAGGGAACATTATTTAAAACGAACAGATGATCACAAGCTGTCAAGACAACATTTTCTGTTCTGTGCTCTAATACTGAATAATCACTTGGTGGGTAAGTTATTAAAAGCAGCCAAACACATCTGAGAAGAGAGAAACAGTATTTTTTTTAGAGTCCAGTGTGACTCTTTGGAATTATTCTGAAGAAAGTATATCAGACTCAAAATGTTAACTCTGTTTGTCTCTCTGCAGATGCTGCTAGACCCTGCTGAGTTCCTCCAGCATTCTGTGTGTTTGTTTCAGATTTCAAGCGTCTGCAGTATTTTGCTTTTATTTGGGCACATTTTTCAGACTCGTCAGTTGAACCCCACCCCCCACCCTTCTACAACCCTCCCCGCCCCCCCAGTTTCACGTGATGAGCTGAATATACAACTGCCTGATGAGTGCAATTGATTCAATTTCGCCTGTCGGGAAATTGACAACATTGGGGGTAATGTTGATTTTACCCAACACCACATCCCAAGCCTGTGATTAAAGCCAATGAGTAAATTGGATGTGTGTAACATCGGCATCTCACATGATCCTGTGTGTTAGCAGCTGGAGGGTGAGGTTAGCATTGGACATGTCCTGTCTGAGTCAGGGCCACGTGTAGCATAAGCATCTGAATCAGTGTCATGTCCCTTCTTGTTACAAAATCCTACTATCTCACAGTCTCCTTTCCCCAACAGAAGGGTTTCAGGCGTGCAAGACAAAATTTTGGGGTCATGAACTCTCAGGAATGGCTGCCCGAGGGCACTTACAGAAGGCTAACAGCTGCAAGGCCCCTTTAAAAAATTGCAGTTTTTAAATGGTGGGTGTGGGCCAGCTGGCCTTATTCCTGTTTTGAAAGCACAGTGAAAATGTCAGTGCTTTTTGTTTTAAACGTCTTGCAGTCTAAACAGACTCCTGTTCTCACACCTCTCTGACTCTCTGTGCTCTGGGGACAAGCAAAATGGGGTCAAAATAAGATAACGTTTGGGACGGCCTCCTGAATGAACACGGTTTGCAAACTGCAGTGCTAAAGTTACATGCAAATTTCAAACTTGGGTTACTGCTAATGTCGAATTCTGTGCAGGCTCACCTTTACAAACCACAAACATGCACTGCTTACACAGGTTGTGGCCTTATTTATGCACACAAACATTTGCATTAGGCCTCTCAAGCCTGGAACACACATAGAATCCCTACGGTGTAGAAGCAGACCGTTTGGCCCATCAAGTCCACACTGCCCCCCACCCCACCTCCCACCAAGAGCATCCCAGCCAGACCCATCCCCTGTAACAAAGACAGCAGTTGCTAGAAAAGCTCAGCAGGTCTGGCAGCATCTGTGAAGAAAAAATCAGAGTTAACGTTTTGGGTCCGGTGACCCTTCCTTGGAACATCCACCCCCTGTAACCCCGAATTTCCCATGGCTAACCCACCTAACCTGCGCATCCCTGGCCACAAGAGTCCTGGTTTGCTCCAGCATGGGTTTCAACTTACTTGAAAATTCTATTCAAAGAAAAAGACTTTGCAAAATTAGAAACTGGCTGACTGAAAAATTTCTAAGTTGGTCTCTGCACGAGGGCCAATAAAGTTACAGAAAATGTTTCAGCTTCTTTCACTCAACCACACAACAAAACCTCAACAGGAAACCACAGCACTGGGGAAGGGGAAGGGTGCAGTGGTATTAGGAGAAGCTGGGGGGACTGGGATTTGAGTGGGGAAAGGGCGAGAGGGAAATGAACAAGTAGAGATGCTGGAATTTGGGAGGAAGGAGAAGCTACATGAATTCTGCTAACTTTTGCCATTTAGGAAATGTTTAAATCTTAGTATTTGCTGATGAAAGAATTTATTGGAACAGTATTAAGATTCTATTTTACCTGAAAAATATCAAAGTTAATCAGACTGACATGTTCCAATGAAGCACATGTTGGATAGTGACTATTAACTGAAAGGTAGACGTTTGTTGTTGGTATATGAGGATAAGAGGCAGATACACTTGAGGTACAGAGAAGCCATTTTCTGAGTGACTGCTGGAACCAGTTTGAGGGCTGAATGGCCTCCACCTGTTGTAATGATAAAAGCACATCACTCTGGTAATATCCAGCAGTGGTTTGCCATCTCCTCTAGGGTGAGGAATACCTCCAACCAATGAATCGTCAGCATCCTTTTTTTTAACTTGGCCATGGGATATGGCTGTCACTGGTGAAGCCAACATTTGTTGTCCATCTCTAATTGTTCAAAGGGGAGCCTGGGCTGTGGGTCTGGAGTCACATGTAGGCCGGAACAGATAAGAATGGCAGATTTCCTTCTGTAAAGGGCATTTATGATTTGGATGGGTCTTTACAACAATTAACAGCCTATATTGGGCTAACTTTCAGACTAGATTTTTATTGAATTCAAGTTTCACAACGTGCATTTGTAGGATTTGAATGCAAGTCCCAGAACATTAACCTGGGACTCTGTATTACCCATGTAGTGACATTACCACAATGCCATCACTACCTCCACCCCTGGTTAGAATTTGTGCTGAGGTCATCTACTGACTAACCCCTGTGAATGAAAGTTGTGTTCCTCATTTGCAGCCAGCCTGTAATTTTCTGATCTGAGCTGGATCTAAAAAGAAACAGCTTCACACTAAAGACTAACACAAATCAAATGTGACCTCCTGGCTGCTGTCCCTCAGATCTATTTGATTAGTGTTTTAGTTACAGATTACATGTTAAATAAATGTCTTTAATATGTTGCTCTCTCTCTCTCTCTTCCTTCACACAGGGCTATGGTTATCATGTGGCAAGTGCAGTTTGTGAGTGGCTAGTTGCATTCAGCTTTAATTTCTTCTTCTTAACATATATCAAGGAGTTTCAGGTAAGAATTAGTTTGAAATATTGAACAGTTGAGTATGCTCAGCCACCTCTTCAGGTGGATTGCAGAGTGTAGGTGTAAAGTTGTTTCATGTTGCAGTTACAGTTCCACACAACAGCATCCACATTTCAAAAGCACTTTAATATCTGTGAAGTACATTGGGACAACAGCAAAAGGCTATTTTTTTTTAGCATCGCTCCAACAGTACTCAAGAAGTTGAACACAATTCAGAGCAAAGCAACGCTGCTTGACAGACACCCCAGTATCACTGTCAATATTTACTCTCATTGCTACCTGACTACAGTGGCACAGTGCATAGATCGTAAAGCTATAGGTAAAAATAATTCATTCGGTCCATTGAGCCTGCTTGATCATTCAATAAGCTCTAACTGTGGCCTTTACTGTATTTCCCTGCACTTCTCCAATAACCCTCCACTCCTCGATAACCTGACATTGAAGGTATTCAATGACCCTGCCTCCACTGTTCTCTGGGGAAGGGGGTTCCAAAGATTAATTATTCTCAGAGAAGATAATTTTCCTTACCTCCACATTAAATAAGAAGCAACGTATAGTTCAGACCCCACCACCTCCCCACAACCCCTTCTAGATTCCCTCTAGAGGGGAAACATCTTCTCAGCATCTTGTCATTCGAGCTCCTGCAAAGTCTTAAATGTTTCATTAAGGTCGTCGCTCATTCTTCTAAACTCCAATGAGTAAAAACCCAACCTTCCCTCATTAGACAACCCCTTCATCTCAGGAATCAGTCGAGGGAACCTTCTTTGATCTGCTGATAATGCAACCCTATCCTTCCTTAAGTTACTGGACCAGAACTGTACATAGTAATTGAGGTGGAGTCTCACCAATGTCTTGCACAGTTGTAGTAAGATCTTTACAATTGATTCCCCTTGCAAAAAAGGGCAACAGCCCATTGCCTTCCCAATCACTCGCTGAATCTGCATGCTAACTTTTCATCATTCATGTAACAGGACATTTTGTACCATAGCACACGCAGTCTATCTCCACTTAAATGATATTCTACTTTGCTATTCTTCTTCCCAAAGTACACAACCTCATATCTTCCTACATCATAATCCACCTGACAAATATTGCCGATTTACTTAACCAATCTTATAACCCCTTTGTATATTCCTTCTATCCTTCTCACAGCCAGCACCATCTAGAAGATGCAATGCAGCAACTCCCCAGGTTTCCTTTGACAGCACATGACAACGCATTCCCCTCCAAATCACACACTAAAGTGACTTGGAACCAGCCATCTGAGGGTCTACCTGTGCCTCAGGGAGAGCTGCGGTTCAAGAAAGCAGCTCAGCACCACCTTCTCAAGGGCAATTAGGGATGGGCAATGCCCACATCCTATGAACAAATAAGGAGTGGTACTTGAGTCAGTTCCTCCAAACCATGCCATTGGATTACTAGAATAAATGTTGCTGGGCATCTAGGATTGGGCTCCCAAGTTTACATCAATACTTCCCCTTCAAACTTCTCATAAACACATCCCCTTTATAAGTGGAAAGTCCCAGTCTTCCTCTCTCTGATCCCAATCACATTGCATTCTCATTACTTCACTCCTTACACCAAAACTACCTGTTTATTTCCTCATTCTGTGCTATTTAAGCATTCCTGTGCATTCAACTGTTACCGAGCTAGGCAATAATTAATGCAGGAACTACATAAAAATTATTAAATTGAGAGATATAGAAAGGAAGATACACTCCCCACTTCTTACTCTGTTGTTACCCTCTGGAGGTAACAATGGTGATTTCACAGCTTGCTTGCCTTTAGATGTGGCACCCCCTGGTGTATTGCCCATCCATGGCTTAATCCCCAGAACTGATGGTTTTTCTTGGAACCACTCAGAGTGGTTGGATAACAGGCCCAAGGTTCGCTCAGTTTGACAGTTAATGTTAACCAGGGCAGGGGTGTGGGGGCTCTCTGTGATTGGTTCGTGGGCACTGTGCTCAGATTGAGGTTGGCACCAGGAACCTGAGCCATTGACAGCACCTGGGACCTGTGATTTCTGTCACTGGCACAGGCATTAGACAAGCTGGTGTGGGGAATTGACTAACGTAAAGGAAAAGAGACCTGTACTTTCATAACCTTTGGACACCCCAGAGTGTTTCACAGCCAATGAAGTCTTCTTGAAATATGGTCATTATTGCAATGAAGGAAACATAGTAGCCAATTTATGCACAGCAAGCTCCCATAAACAAGATAATGACCTGGTAAGGAAGGGTCCAGACACGAAACGTCAGCTTTCCTGCTCCTCTGATGCTGCTTGGCCTGCTGTGTTCATCCAGCTCTACACCTTGTTATCTCTAATGACCTGGTAATTTGTTTTAGTGATGTTGATAGAGATCCAGAGCAGGTACAATTTTCTTCATTAAAGGAGTGATCCAGTTGGGTTTTCCCAACAGCTTCATAATCACTTGTAGTGGCAACAGACTAGGGTTTTGAAAAATTAAATCCAAATTTTTAAACTGTCTTGGTGGGTTTTGAGCTGGATTTATGGTCAAACATTTCCCATATCTTTATGACTAACAAATGAATACTGTTGAAAGAAAGTGGAAAGATGACCAAAAGTTTGATTAAAGAGGGAGGTTTAAGTTGGGACTTAAAAGAGGAGAGAGGGGGTAGAGAGGGGATAGAGAGGTGGAGATGTTTAGAAAGAGAATTCCAAAGATTAGGCTAGGCAGCTGATCGTGGTGGGGGGGTGCGGATTTAAAATGGAGATGTGCAAGACGCTGCAAGTGAGAGATATAAAAGCAAATGAGATTGATGGGGCCGAATGGCAGGAGTGCCAAACCATAGCTTAAAGATTAACCTCCACCCACCAATCTGCACCCAGTTGACACAGTCCCACCATTTTAACATGTATATACACAAAAATATACCTTTCATTACACTTGCTATAAAGTACTCTACAGCCAATCAGTTATCTTTTGAAATATAGACATTGGGAGTGTAGGAGACACAGCAATGTGTACACAACAAGTTCTCCTTGCTTTGATAACAAGGTGTGGAGCTGGATGAACACAGCAGGCCAGGCAGCATCAGAGGAGCAGGAAAGCTGACGTTTTGGGTCTTGACCCTTCTTCAGAAATGGGGGAGGGGAAGGGGGCTCTGAAATAAATAGAGAGATAGGGGAGGTGATGATAGAAGGTGGATAGAGGGCCAGATAGTTAGAGAGAAGACGGACAAGTCAAGGAGGCGGGGATGAAGGCAGTAAAGGTGAGTGTGCGTAGGGAGTTGGGATGGGGGTTGGTCAGTGAGGAGGGAGGGGCGGGTAGGTGAGAGGGAAAACGGACAGGTCAAGGGGGCGGGGATGAGGTTAGTAGGCAGGAAGTGGGGGTGGGGGTTGGTCAGTGAGGTGGGAGGAGCGGATAGGTGGGAGGAAAGACGGACAGGTCAAGGAAGCGGGGACGAGATGGGCTGGTCTTGGAATGAGGTTGGGAGCAGGGAGATTTTGAAGCTTGTGACGTTCACATTGAGACCATTGGGCTGCAGGGTTCCCAAGCGGAATATGAGGTGCTGTTCCTCCATTTGCGGGTGGTGTCATTGTGGCACTGGAGGAGGCCCAGGATGGACACGTCACCCAGGGAGTGGGAAGGGGAGTTAAAATGGTTGGTGAACAGAAGGTGTTGTTAATTATAGTGTATGGAGCACAGGTGCTCTGCAAATCTGTCACTGAGTCTGCGCTTGGTCTCACCGATATAGTGGAGGCCACACCGGGAGCAACAGATACAGTAGACCAGGTTGGAAGTTATACAGATGAACCCCTGTTGGATACAGAAAGTTTGTCTTGGCTCTCAGATGGAGGTGAGAGGGGAGGTGTGGGGGCAGGTTTAGCACCTCCCGCGGTTGCAGGGAAGGGTGCCGGGTGTGGTGGGGTTTGTGGGGAGTGCGGAGCGGACGAGGGAGTCGTGGAGTGAACAGTCCCTACGAAAGGCAGATAGGGGTGGGGAGGGAAATATCTCTTTGATGGTGGGGTCAGATTGTAGGTGCGGAAGTGGCGGAGGATGATGTGCTGGAGCGGAAGTTGGTGGAGTGATATGTGAGGACCAGGGGGATTTTTGTTGGGGGGAGAGAGTTTGAGGCCAGAAGTGCGGGAAATGCAAGAGATGCGGTTGAGGGGATTTTTGATCAATGGAGGGGGTTCGCTGCAGTCCTTGAACTAGAACATCTGGGATGTCCAGGAGTGGAATGTTCCACCTAGGGAGCAGATGTGGTGGAGGAATTGGATGTAAGGGATCGCATTCTTGCAGGAAGGTGGGTGAGAGGAGGTGTAGTCCAGGTCGCTGTGGGAGTCGTTGGATTTGAAATTAATGTCGGTGCTGAGACAGTTACCAGATATAGAGGTAGAGGGGTCCAGGAAGGGGAGAGAGGTATCAGAGATGATCCAGGTGAATTTGAGGTTGAGGTGAAAGGTGTTAGTAAAGTTGATGAAGTGTTCAAGCTCCTCATGGGAGCACGAGGCAGCGCCAATACAGTCATCAATGTAGCAGAGGAAGAGGTGAGGGATAATGCTGGTGTAACACCCCCGGCCTCATTCCCATGTCCAACCCTCCCTCTCATCCCCACCTCCTTGACCTGACACTACCTGTCCATCTTCTTCCCCACCTACCTGCTCCACCCTTCCCACTGACCAATTCCCACTACCCCCTACCTCCATCCACCTATTGCCATTCCACCTACCTTCCCCCAGTCTCACCCCTCTTCCCCCTATTTATTTCCCAGCTCCTTCCTCCCTTCCCAGTCCTGATGAAGAGTCTAGGCCTGAAATGTCGACTCTCCTGCTCCTGTGATGCTGCCTGACCGGCTGTGTTCCTCCAGCTCCACACTGTAGTGACTTTTTTTAAACATTTCTAAGTTCTGAAATGTCACTTCTCTGATGTTGGTCAGCAGCCTGTGCTGTTAGCTGTGGACCTGTTGGGAATGAAAGATGCTTTTGTGAACCACTGAGAGTCAATTTCTTTTCTTTCTTCAACAGACATTCACCATAAACATAAGAACAGTGTTACTTCAAGACTCATGTAATGAGTCATAAAATATGTTCCAAAAGACCACTTTCCTCTCCCGGGTTAGTATGTTCAGGAAACATTTCCAGACCCAGGGAACATCTGGAAAAGTGAAAGCATCCATCAATATCCTTGTGTTTTCTTTTTTATAGTCTCTACTTTATTCTATTTTAAGCCACTTCCATGTAATGCTGCTTACAGCAATAACTTGCATTTATATTATGCCTTTTAAAGTAGTGAAACATTGAGAGGTCCTTCACAGGAATGTTTCCGAGTGAAAACAGGAGACCTTAGGGGAGGTGACCAAAACTTACACAGGTATGTTTGAAGCAGAGGTTTATGAATGGAATTCCAGAGCTTGCATCTTAAGATATCTGAGAGGTGAGGGGTATTCTGGTATCATCCAACCCCAGTGCGAGTATAACTCCAACTGTGAATTTCCTCAAGATGTTTTGCTATTTTAAACTTGCTTTGTATATCATATTCCTTCAAAAGTAATCCACCTAGCTTCTGAATCATGGTCAATCAGTCTGCATCAATCCATTTACACAAGAACAACCTGAATACAAACAACCTAGTCTTAAGATTGTTTAAACACCACAAACATAAACTGGTTAGATCTTGAGTTCACTGAGCATTTGGGCAGCTAATGTAAGTTGGCAGTTCTGTACTTGCTATCTTCTTGTCATGTTACAATGCTGGCTTAAAAAGGCTGCAAAGAGCAAGGTTCACAGTTACAACTCAAATGTGAAACCACAGCTGCTGTTCTCAGAGTACTTGAAGCATGTCATTTGAGAGTCCGTTTACAGCAACTTTTCTTGTCCCTTTAACACTGTTAAATATTCCCAAGGTACTTCAGAATGGTTATCCGACACACACTACAAGAGGATTTCAGTTCAGAAGTAGGGATGTCTTACTGAGTTATAAAGGACTTTGATGAGACCACACTATTGTGTGCAGTTTTGGTCTCCCTACCTAAGAGAGTCAGAAGTCACACAACACCAGGTTATAGTCCAACAGCTTTATTCAAAACCACAAGCTTTCGGAGCGCTGCTCAGAGCAGCGCTCCAAAAGCTTGTGATTTTGAATAAAGCTGTTGGACTATAATCTGGTGTTGTGTGACTTCTGATTTTGTCCACCCCAGTCCAACACCAGCACCTCCACATCATGGCTACCTAAGACAGAATATACTTGCCACAGAGGGAGTGCAACAGAGGTTCACTAGGCTGATACCAGGGATGGCAGGACTATCCTATGAGGAAAGATTGGTTCAATAGGGCTTGTATACATTTTTGGATTTTAAAGTCATCAAGAGTACTGGAAGAAAGTGGGAATATAGCATTGAGATTGGAGGATCATCCATGATCATATTGAATGGAGGAGCAGGCTTGAAAGGCCCAGTGGCCTACTCCTGCTCCTAGATTTTATGTTTCACACATTTGAGAATAAGTCAGGTGGAGGTCTTAGGATAGATGACTGACATTTTGGTCAAAGATGTAATTTTTAAGGACTGTTTTTAGAGGGGGAGAGGCATGTGGAGAGGCTTAAGGAAGGAATGCCAGAGCTTGAATCCTAGACACTGAATGCCTGACTAAAATCAAGCATGCACAGGAGGTCAGGACTGAATGAGCACAGAAATTTCAGAGTATGAGGAAATTTTACAGATAGGAAAGGGGAAGACCATGGAGGGATGAGAAGTTCTCTTTATTCTTTCACAGGATGCGGTGTTGCTGGCTGGGTCAGCATTTATTGCCCATCCTGAATTTCCCAGAGGGCTGTTATGAGTCAACCACATTGCTGTGGGTCTGGGGTCACATGTAGACCAGACCAGGTAAGGACAGCAGTTTTCTTCCCTGTAGGACATTAACGAACTAGAGGGTTTTACCCGACAATTGGCAATGGTTTCATGGTCATCATCGGACTCTTAATTCCAGATTTATTTGAATTCAAGTTTCACCATCTGCCGTGGCAGGATTCAAACCCAGGACCAGAGAACATTACCTGGCTCTCTGGATTAAGTCGAGCGATCATACCACTATGCTACAGCCTCTGAGATGTTGCTGAAGCAGGATGACCAAGGAGGGTTATGGGCTGATTAATTTGGTGTGAGTTTGCATACAGGTAGCAAAGTTAGGATGAGCTGAGTTTTAAGGAGGATGGAAAGGGGGAGGTTGGCCGGTGGAGCATTTAGATGGTTGAGTCCGAAGAGAATGAAAGCGTAGGTGAGGATTTCAGCAGTAGATCGGCTCACTTCATTCACAATGCAGCAAGAAGCACTTGGCTGGAACACCAGCCTCATTGGACAAATGCACCTTTACACTGTGAAAGATGGCAAAGAGAGCTACCTGTCACTCTCAAACTCATTTTCTTGTAGAAAAATCACAATTAATTGGGTCAGTTTTGATGCTGGATCATTCTGATAAGTTCAAATCAAAATAACTTTGGGGTGGGGTGAGAATGAGTGACTGTTTTGGACAAAATTTCCTCCTAATGATTCATGTATTTTGTGTGCAAATTGTACAGTTTTTAAATTGATCAAGATCGTTTTAAGATACTGTTATTCGAATAATTAAACTTTTAAAAGGGTTGAGAGAAATTAAACGGATATCTATTTTTTGCCCAGAACAAAATATTTTATTACAGTTTTTGATACAGTATATTTTAATAATAAACAATATTTTAACAAATCATGCTTGTTGTTTTGATTCTTCAACTACATCACTACTCACTTCTGGCCTCCTCCCTGAACATTTCTCGAAACGTCAATCATTTCTACACCTAGTTGTTCCTTTCTTTCTTTGACAACACTTTACAGTAACATTGTGCCTTTAAAGTTTCACACGAACAGTTTAAGACAAAGTATGACACTGAACTAAGCCACATAGCGGGTGGTTAGGTCAGATGACCAAAACCTTTATCAAGAGGTAGTAGGAACTGCAGATGCTGGAGAATCTGAGACAACAAGGTGTAGAGCTGGATGAACACAGCAGGCCAAGCAGCATCGGAGGAGCAGGAAAGCTGACGTTTCGGGCCTAGACCCTTCTTCAGAAATGGCCGAAATATCAGCTTTCCTGCTCCTCTGATGCTGCTTGGCCTGCTG